GACAAATATCTCTAATGAACATAGATGCAAAAATCCTCAATAAAATTCTGGCAAGTCTAATACAAAAACATATCAAAAAGATCATGCACCATGATCAAGTGGGATTCATCCCAGGGATGCAAGGATGGTTCAACATACGGAAATCAATAAATGTAATTCATCACATCAATAGACTTAAAGGTAAGAACCATATGATCATCTTGATAGACACAGAAAAAGCATTTGACAAAATACAGTACCCCTTTATGTTCAAAACACTAGAAAAACTAGAGATAACAAGAACTTACCTCAACATTGTAAAGGCTATGTACGCTAAGCCTCAGGCCAACATCATTCTAAATGGAGAAGAACTGAAGGCATTCCCTCTAAAATCTGTAACAAGACAGGGATGCCCTCTCTCACCACTTCTATTCAACATAGTTCTTGAGACACTGGCCAGAGCAATTAGACAGATGAAAGAAATTAAAGGAATAACTTTAGGAAAAGAAGAACTTAAATTAGCACTATTTGCTGATGATATGATTTACTTAGAAGACCCAAAAGACTCCACCAGGAAACTTCTAGAACTAGTAAATGAATTCGGCAAAGTGGCAGGATATAAAATCAACACCCATAAATCAAAGGCATTTCTGTATATCAGTGACAAATCCTCTGAAAAGAAACTGAGGAAAACTACCCCATTCACAATATGCTCAAAAAAATAAAATAAAATAAAATATTTGGGAATCAACTTAACAAAAGAGGTAAAAGATCTATACAATGAAAACTACAGAACCCTAAAGAGAGAAATAGAAGAAGTCCTTAGAAGATGGAAAGATCTACTTTGCTCATGGATAGGCAGAGTTAATATTATTAAAATGACCATACTACCAAAAGCACTATACAGATTCAAAGCAATTCTGATCAAAATCCCAATGGCATTCCTCATAGAAATAGAAAAAGCAATCATGAAATTCATCTGGAAGAATAAGAGACCCAGAATAGCTAAAGCAATTCTAAGCAGGAAGAGTGAAACAGGTGGTATCGCTATATCAGACCTTAAACTATACTGCAAAGCAATAGTAACAAAAACAGCATGTTACTGGCACCAAAACAGGTTGGTAGACCAATGGTATAGAATAGAGGACACAGAGACTAATCCACAAAATTAAAACTATCTTATATTAGATAAAGGTGCCAAAAGCATGCTCTGGAGAAAGGATAGCATCTTCAACAAAAAACTGGAAATCCATATGCAACAAAATGAAATTGAATCCCTTTCTCTCACCATGCACAAAAGTTAACTCAAAATAGATCAAGGACCTAGGAATTAGACCAGAGACTCTGCATCTAATAGAAGAAAAAGTAGACCCTAATCTTCATCATGTGGATTTAGGCCCCAACTTCCTTAATAAGACTCCTATAGCACAAGAATTAAAACCAAGAATCAACAAATGGGATGGATTCAAACTAAAAAGTTTCTTCTCAGCAAAAGAAATAATCTGTGAGATGAATAGAGAGCCTACATCCTGGGAACATATTTTTACCCCTCACACATCTAGGGTATATAAAGAGCTCAACAAGATAAGCACCAAAAAAATAAATAATCCAATCAATAAATGGGCCAAGGACCTGAACAGACACTTCTCAGAAAAGGACATACAATCAATCAACAAATATATGAAAAAATGCTCATCATCTCTAGCAATCAGAGAAATGCAAATCAAAACTACTCTAAGATACCATCTCACCCCAGTAAGAATGGCAGCCATTTTGAAGACAAACAACAAGTGTTGGCAAGGATGTGGGGAAAAAGGTACACTCATACACTGCTGGTGGGACTGCAAATTAGTGCAGCCAATATGGAAAGCAGTATGGAGATTTCTTGGAAAACTGGGAATGGAACCACCATTTGACCCAGCTATTCCTTTTCTCAGACTATACCCAAAGGACCTAAAAATAACATACTACAGGGACACAGCCATATCAATGTTTACAGCAGCACAATTCACAATAGTTAAACTGTGGAGCCAACCTAGATGTCCTTCAGTGGATTAATGGATTAAAAAATGTGGCATTTATACACAATGGAATATTACTCAGCACTAAAAAATAACAAGACCATGGCATCTGCAGGGAAATGGATGGCATTAGAGCAGATTATGCTAAGTGAAGTTAGCCAATCCCTAAAAAACAAATGCTGAATGTCTTCTCTGATATAAGGGGGGGGGGACTCAAAATGGGATAGGGAGGAAGAACATGAGAAGAAGATTACCACTAAATAGGGAAGAGAGGTGGGAGGGAAAGGGAAGGAGAAGGGGAATTACATGGAAAATGGAAGGAAACCCTCATCGTTGTACAGAATACATGTATGATGATGTGAGGGGGAAAAAAAGAAGTGTGTCACATTAGATTGGGTAGACAGAAGTGATGGGAGGAGAGGGGAGGGGAAGGGGGGATAGGAAAGTCAGCAGAATAAAATAGACACTAGTATTGCTGTGTGTATATACGTGACTGTATGACCAATGTGATTCTACAACCTGTACACTCAGAAAAATGAGAAATTATACCCCATTTGATTCAAAAAAAAAAAAAAAAAGAACTCAATCTACTTTATTACTGCATAGGCAAGGTTTTTTTTAATGATATTTATTTATTTATTTTGCATTACAATTCTTAATATACCATTATACAATAATTTATCATCTCTCTGATCATATATAAGGTATGTATATCCTGTTACTGGGCAGACTCATCTGAGGGTCACATAACCCAATGAGCTAGCAACATGCTTAGGAGTGGCGACCCATGGACTAAAAGGTCAATGGCAGAAAAACAGCAGGAAAGAAACAGCTGAGCACACAAGGGAAGCCAGGTTACCATGGTGATAAGGCTGAGCATGGGTTGTGTGCCAACTGCAATATCTGGGTTCAGCACTCAGAGTATGAGTTCCTAACATAGGCTGCTTTCCAACTTATGGGCCCAACAAGGTCATATCAACTTATTAATTATGTAAATGTACATATTATTCACAAATGGAAAGAATGTAGTGAATATTATTTTTAAAGTTCCCATAGCTTTTCTGATCTTTGGTCTTGTGAGGCAGTAGCATGAACTTTGAACTCGGAAGCAATACCCTAAGGCAGCAATATCCAACACAAATAAAATGGGAGGCACTAGTATTCACATTAAAATACTAAAAGAAAAGATAAAGTTGATTGTAATAACAATACATCCAAAATATTATCATTATAGTATCAATATGTAATTATTGTGAAGTAAATATACTTTTGCTATAAATCTTCAAAGCTCACTCTATTTTAAGCCTCCTGCACATGTCAGATCAGAGCAGTCACATTCCAGCTTTGAAAGCTGACTCCTCCCCTGAACTCAGGGAAGTGCAGGACTTGAAGCTCCATTTCATGCCACAGGTGATGAAACACTTTTACCTACCAATATTTCTTCTCAGGGTCAAGAACAGGGAGAGACAATGCCCTGACAGATGGCAGGGAACTCCACCAGGAAGCCTCCAAAGGTATATCATTCTACCCATTTTCTGCTGGGCCAAGGCCCATCCCTCTTGCAGAGATGGGAGAGCAAACAAGGGAAGAGGAGGGAATCTCATGTCTTTAGATCTTCCCAAAGCCTTGACCTCCAGAGTTTAAACAGATTAAAGCAAACTTATTTTGCAGTTCAGCCTTGGACTTAATTGTCAGGCTACCAATGTGTGTTTCTCCTGTAGCATGGGGTACTGTATAAGCTTAAGCCAAATCACATGCATGCAGTTCTACATGTATGTCTGTGTAACTCAACAGTATCTACCAAAAGATTGAACTTTAAATTATGGAAACAGGAAATGACCTTGGCAATGTGCTTTTACTGCTGCTTCCATCAAGAGACAGAGTCTGTTTACCAAACCTTATTTCTGGGATGGCCGTATTTGCTACAACTCATACAAAGCTGTGATGACAAAAGTGTATCAGTATGGTACCAGGGCTCAAAATGTCTCGAATGCTTTATCTTTTTCTTTTAGAACCCTGCAATCCATGAGAACGATCCCACATTGGCCTACTGGAGGATGAGATATCAAGGGGAGAATAGGTAACCCAGATGACAGCCAGATCACACTCTGAAGCTGAGCCATCTAGCCAGCCATCAGCTAACCACATACAGGAGGAGGAGCCCAGTTGAGCTCAGTATAAATTGCTGACCACTGGTTATAAGCTAATATATTTTTGGATGACCTATCATCTAGTGATAGATAAACTAATAGCCAGTGATAGGCAGGATGCTAATATTCAGTGACATGTTGATTACAAGTTGTCTGGCAAACAGTGGGTGTCTTATAGATTTTCTGTTCCCTCACCTGTGGTATGAAATGGAGGTCAAGCCCTTCACCTCCCTGAGGTCAGGGAGTTATAGCTCAAAAAGTTGGAATGTAGCTGCTCGGCTGGACAGTGCTGGAGCCTTACAACAATGTGAGATTTGAAGACTTAGTAGCAAGACTTAGTATATAGATGTCACAATAATTTTATGTTAATAACAATGATAATATTTTGGATTAAAATATGACAATTTCATCCTTTTTTGATACTAGGGATTGAACTCAGCTGCACTCAACCACTGAGCCACATCCTCTACCCTATTTTGTATTTGATTTAGAGTCAAGTTCTCACTGAGTTGCTTAGTGCCTCACCATTGCTGAGGCTGGCTTTGAACTCGAAATCCTCCTGCCTCAGCCTCCGGGGCAGCTGGGATTACAGGCATGCGCCACCACGTCCGGCAATCCTCTTAATTTTTAATACAAAAATCCAAGAAAATTTTAAATTATTTGTATTGCACATAGTTTCCTTAAGTGACTGTTTCCTTCAAGTTCCTCCTCACAAGAATAGACACCAAAGTTACAGGAAATTTAAAAATTATTTTCATTGTACTCTGTCCATTTGTGAATAACATATGCATGCACATACAATTGATAAATGGAGATGATCTTACATACAAGGTTAAAAATGCAAATGTACCTGCATAGTAGGGGGAATGGAAAGATCCAGCAAAGAACGTTATTTTGGCCTCATTCAGCTGAAGGTTACCCATTCCCTCTCACTCAGGGTATAAGAAGGCGGGGTCTCAAGCTCTATCCAATCAGGGACACGTGCATGAGGACTGTCCAATCAAGCACATTTCTAGAAAGGAGAAGACAGGATTTCCTAACCTCGCGGATCTTGGTTCCGGGATTCCGCCATATTGGAACCCGTTCTTCCGCCAGGGAGGCCTCGGAGGCTCTGCCCGGCCCCAGTCGCACTGTCATCTATCCCGAGTGCGCGAGCCTCCCCGGAAGCCGGATATGGTGAGTGTGCGGCGGAGTTCTGAGACCGGCGGCGCCATTCGGGAACCGCGCGCTGGCTGTGGCGGGACCCGCCTCCGGGCGGAGAGCCCAGCCTCCTGCAGGCCGAGTCCTCTGGGGCGACCCGGGCATTACCCGCGGCCGTGGGTGGGCTGGGCGGCAGCCGCAACCCAGGGCTCCGGTCCCTCTCTGCGTGGCGACTTCGGCCCCACTGGAGCCCACTGTGCAGTTGGGAGTTGTCCTCTCAGGCTGTGGGGTGAGCTGGGCAGCAGCTTGAACCGTGGTCTCTGGTCCGGTCTCTGCGTGGAGACTTCAGCCCTGCTGGAGCCCTCCCAGGCGGATGTGAGCCTGCAGCCCCGTGTGTCTCCCTCTATACACTGTGGGGAGGACAGGATGAGGGAGAATCTTCACTTTGTGTGTGGGGTTCCTGTGTTAGAGGACCTCTGGTCCTTAGGGTTCCCTTCTTTACCCCTGAGAGATCTTGCTTTTCTACAGAACTTGAAGATACTACCTCTGATATGTTCAATATCTTTAAATTTTTGTTTAATGAATTTGGGTTTCCTTTACTCTCGTTTTGTAAAATTTGCCTGTGCTTTTGCTTTTTTAATTTCTTTTTTTTTTTTTTTAATTTTAAAACATGCCCGTGTTTTTGTTTTTGAATCTGGCCAAGTTGCTTGTGAGCCTTGCTGTGTTACTGATGCAGGCCTGGAACTTAATGATCCTCCTGGCTCAGCTTCCTCTAGTTGCTGGAATTACAGGGTACACCACCAGGCTACATTTTGCTTTTAAATCTGTGGAATTTTTGTGTTATGATATAGGAACCAATTGTTATTATTATTATTATTATTATTATTATTATTATTATTATTATTATTATTATTTTGATTGGCAGTGCTGAGAAATATTGAGGTATAACAGAGAGCTACCCTTCCAGGACCTCTGAAATAAAATTGGCTTCCGGATAAAATTCTCATATGGATTAAGTGCAGATATGTTGTAAAGTAGGAGAGTGACTCTTAGGCCCGAAAGATTAAACTCTGCCACTGGATAAAGGGGATCTGTTTGAAAATCAAAGTATGTGGTACCAAAGTCGGAAAGTCTTAGAGGAAAATGTAACATTGCCCATCCCAACACATAGAAGAAGATGGGCTGGCTTAGTGAGTTCACCATCTGGAACTGAGGCAGGGGAAGGTGGAACAGGCAGTACCTGACCATTGGATGCATTGTTCTAACTCAGCATTTTTTTTAAACACCTTTATTTCACTTATTTATTTTTATGTGGTGCTGAGGATCGAACCCAGGGTCTCGCATGTGCGAGGCGAGCGCTCTACCGCTGAGCCACAACCCCAGCCCTAACTCAGCATTTTCTAAAATTGCAGGTAGAGTTGACTCTGGGGAGCTGATGATTACTTATAATTGAAATAGAACGCAATGCAAAATAATACATCAGAGAACTTCACACGTTGAAAGATAAGCTTTATTTTGTTTGAATGTCTTTGAAATTTTCAAGGATGCATAGGTGTGTACTAGGATGATATAAAATGTATTTCTTACCATGGGCTGCCTTCCAAAAATACCTTGAGCCTCAAATTGCTACTAACTCATTTTCCCTATGAACTGCCTTCATTGTGTTGTCCCTTGTTTACAATACACACATCTGCCTACGAGAAGGAAAGGGCCAGTCTTAATGAGTCTCATTTCTTCCCATGCCTGTGTGTGTATATTCGATATCTTCTTGTATGTCCTGTGCTGCAGTAGCCCACTGCTTCACAGCGCCAGGCCTAGAATAAAGATCTCAGCATCAGTGTATCTGCCCATATTATTCCGACAGAATCGGTGGGGGTGGAGTTACTATGAATTAAAAGTTGAAGATGGGTTGAATGAAGAGGAGACTAGGGTACCTAAAACTACAGAGGCAACTAAGGCCAATTCAGATGTCCAGCCAAAAGTGCTGGCTCCAACTATAGCAGGAGCTTTTTGTTCTCTTTATTCCAGAACTTCCTATTTCATCGCCTTCCCCTCAACTCTGACTGTGCCTCTCCTTTCCTTCCCCTAAACCTTCCTACCCCCTGCTTTGACCTCATGTGTGGTTCACATGCAGCATTGGAACTCCAGGAATTGCAGGCTGGGATCCGAATCCTTCAGTCTATTCAGAGCCCAGATTCTGGTTCTTCCTTCTCACTTTTGGGTTGTCAGACTGTCTCCCATCTCCTTTACTTCCACATTCAGTTTTTCTGCTTGTCATTATGTGGCCCCCAGGATGGTGATTTCAGGTAGAGTTAATGATCACCTTGGGGCAAATATTAAGAAGGCACTAAGCAGTTAAGAAGGAAATGATGATCAAGCAGAGGTTAGAGTTTCTCCACTTGCTTTTAAAAGGTTGAAGGGGGCACTTATGCTTTCTTATAAAATCACCTCTGTACAAATTGAAGTTGAATTTACATGACTCTTTTTCCTAGTGCAACAGTATATTACAGATTAAAACCATTCTTTGCCAATTTAATGACATCTGCTTTATCTTTCACAGAGGATTATTTTATCACCTGTTTACAGGCTGGGAGAAGGGACTATTGGATTGCTTTGAGAATGCAGAGGTTTCCCGGTATGGGTCCAACGTTCATGCTAAGTATTGAAAATGTTATCATTTCACCCAGTCTCCACATCTCCAAGCTCCCTGAGAGTTTGGCAGGACCAGAGGACTAGCCATGTCCAATGAATCACTCCAAGGGAAGCAGGAATGTATCAGTATCCAAGCTGGATCATGATTCAGTGTTATAGGCTGGGGCCTTCTGCAATACTTAGGAAGCACTAAGTGCCCCCTTTCAAAACCTGATTCTTGTGGTCAAGTCAAGAAAGATTTCAGACATGTCACTCAGAGTAACAGGTATAAGTTTAATAAGGGTGGGAAAAAGTAAAGGACACACACTCAAGGGAGAAAGTTGGGTCCTCTCAGAAAGGAAAGGGACAGAGTGCCTCTCCTTCCCTCCAGTTTTATTGGGGGTTCCGGGAAGTTTCCAGAGAATCCTACCCATCCAGGTTTACCTCTTGACTTTTGACTAAGCAAGATGACAGCAGAGTTTCAAGTCCACACTGCCATGACAATTCTGGGTCACTTTGTCCTATGCTGACCAGTTCTAATCGGAACCTGTTCTTACAGATTTTATGGTTAAGGGCAATTATTCTTAGCTTCCTGAGTTCTGGGATCTGATCTGTGTGTAGGTCACAAAAGCCTCCCCCTTCAAGCTAACTTTTGTTATTTTCAGCATTTGGGGGCCTGCATATAACAGGTAGTTTGCTGAGGAAGATAATAATACTCTCAACTTGAGCCAGGCAGGGCTATAGTAAATTGCTTCATAGGAAAGAAAGCATGTGGGCATCAGCAGTGGACCCAGTTTATAGAATTAAGCCTTTAACTTCTTGTTCCCAGTGCTCATGTTTGTCTGTTCCCTATCAACACCACTACCAGCATAGGTTCCTCTGTCACTCAGGGAAGCACCATATACCCCAAGTTGCTCTACCTGAGGAGTCAGTCCTCTGAAGCCACTAAGAGGGCATTATTTTTTAATGGATAATAATTGGGTCAAATTGGGTAGGTCTTACAATTGCCTTAGCTTTGCAGAGCACATGGAAGAGAGCATGGAGACATGCTGATGTGACATGATGAAAGTGTTTGTTTCACAGAGATGACCACAAAAACTCGCAGTACAGAGTTTCTGAGAGAAGGTTTAGGAGGGAATAATATACGCACAGAGTTAACTGACATGTATATACCCTGGGGTTTGAAGTAGATACGGTGTTCCACATGGGTTGTATGGGGAAGAACATGGGTATGCAAAGGATAACAGGGGTAACAACTGGGATGATCTCGGGCTTAATGGAGCTGGGTAAGGCTCCAGGGTCTGGTAAGAAACACAAGTATGGCCCTCAATCCCGACATGGTTCCGTCCTCTGCTCTCTTGTCTGGGTTTGCCTGTGTCCAATGAGCTCATCTGGTTTGGGATCTCTTAAATTTTCCCTGTGCAGGATATCAGAGGCAGTGTACGTGGCTGTCTTCTCCCCATGTCTCACTCTTTTGGGTCTTCCACCACCTACTCTATTCTGCAGTCCCAAGGTCCCCTCCCTTCCATCATTCTCCTGTGCATGGAGCTGCTTTTCCTAGTTCTGGCAAGCACTGGATGAGGACAGGTTCACTGGAGGCTCTGCCACATATGTGGGGTTGGAAAAGCTCGCCTGTCTTCACACTTGAGGGCTCCCTCAAAACTTAGAGAAAGCAAGCACAGGTCACCATAAGCTAGACCAATCTCTTCTACAGCCTCTGGAAAGAGTGCGGTCGTGTTAACACTGGTTTAGTGCAGCATCACTCATCCAGATGCACATCAGCCACCCCAACGAGAGTGTAAGTTTCTGTTACTTTAACCGTTGTGTTTGTGATGGTTTCTCTCAACAGCAGAAGGAAACCCAGCTTCCTTGCATCTTAAATCTGTGACCATTTGCATCATGCCAATGTAGCCAATATCAAGTGGTAGCAGTCAAAACTGTGCAAATCTGGAAAACTATTCTGTCAGCAACAGCTTGACAAGGTGACCAATTCAGTCTGATTGTAGAAGTCACGTACTGTGATTCTTTCCTCCTTAGCAGCAACCTTGGAATGTAAGGTACCTGGTATACTTTGTGGCTGCATGTGGAGATATTCTCTTTGTTTTAAAGTACTTCTGATAACTGTTGCCTAAACAGATCTTTTCTAAGCTAATAGGCATGCATTATTATCTACAGTTAAACAATTCTGGTTTACATATGGGGAAGGATATTACTATCAGAAATTTCATACTTACTCTTGGAATTCGTTTTGGGAATGGGGTGATCTTTATAGCTCCTGTCTTCTCTTGATAGTTGCACAGTTTGCTGCCTGGTTGTTCTGTCATCTCATGTGTCAGGTGAATGTGTCAGCCTTAGAGTCCTGTCCTCCCTTTTTCTGGCTTATAGGGGCTAGTGTCTGGCTGAGGTTCCCACCAATATCTTGGAATTGGTTAAAGTAAGGGATGTTGTGATTTGCTTTGTTCTCTTGGTGTCTTAGTTTCGTTTTTCCTCCAAAGAGACCTGAGGTAGAAGTGTGTATAAGGAGGGCTGAGAATGTAGCTCTGTGGTAGAGCTCCTCTAGGTACAATCCATAGAATGAAAGGGAGGGGGAATCGGAAGAAAAGGAGAAAAAATATAGAGAGAGATGAAAATACTTAAAAAACATAAGTGAACAGAACCCATCAACATATGACGATAAATATATACTGTCACCTAGTTTGTTCATCCCTGGAATATTCGATGGATTAGTATCCAAAAATCATTTAATATAATAGTCTATCAGTACAATTTTTAACATATCACCTCAGTAGAGGGAGACAACAGGATGACAAAATTCAAAACCTATCATGATGATTCAACAATGTAGGAAGAAAAGGTAACTACTCAAGCTGAAAATGACCTCATAAAATTCCATAATCAGTATTACACTTTATGGTGAAATCTTTATATTTTTTTTTAAATTAAAATTAATTAGAATTAGGGGCTAGGGATTTGGCTCAAGCGGTAGCGCGCTCTCCTGGCATGCGTGCGCCCCGGGTTCAATCCTCAGCACCACATACAAAAACAAAGATGTTGTGTCTGCCGAAAATTAAAAAATAAATATTAAAAATTCTCTCTCTCTCTCTCTTTTTAAAAAAAAAGAAATTAATTAGAATTCAAACCAAAGATCCAGCAAGTTTTTTTTGTGTTTTTTTTTTTAAGTTGTAGATGGACGTAACTTTATTTTTATGTGGTGCTGAGAATCAAACTCAGTGCCTCACACCTGCTAGGCAAGCACTTTGCCACTGAGCCACAACCCCAGCCCCCTTTATATTTGTTTTCTAAGATTACAAAAGATAAACACATGCTCTCACATCTGTTCTTAATTGTACTGGAGTAGTAGCCAGGACAAGAGGAAAATAATTCTAAGATATATAGACTGGAAGAAGAGTACTAGGATCACATATGTGCAGGTAACAAGTTTAACAAAGTAACAAGACACATAATCAATGTATGATATCAGTTGTTTCTGTACACAAATAAAGAACAACCCAAAAACTTAGTTTGGGAAATAATTCCAGTTATAATGATATCAAAAAGAATACTTAGGAATAATTTTTTTAAAAGATGTGAGAACTTGAACTTGAATAATAGAACCTGTGGCTTGTGCTGAGAGCACCTGGTATCCTCCCTGAGCCACCATGTCTTGCCTCTGAGGACTTCTCCTTTGTAGAGTAATGAGAGGGGTTGTATTATTATCCTTTCTGTTATTACAAACTGGCTCAGGGTGAGGTCTGCACACATAAGTGTATTGCCATCTCCAATTCTGTCAATAGAAGAACCAGGCCCACTAAGTAAAGGAACAACATCCCATATCCCAGAGGTGCTGCCAACTCCCCTCACCAAATGCCATTTACCTGTTTAAAAGATCCCCGGGTACCATACCCATAGATGCTTAAGAGAGAGATCCAGGATCCACAGCTCTGAGGAAGGGAGATGAGAATTTGAAAGTATGAGGACAGAAGCCTTTGAGAGGATCCAGGCTGGGTTCCCTAGATCTATGGAAGAGTTGGGGTCATTTTAATCAAGGGAGACAGAAGCATGTGAACAATGCAGTGCATATATAGGAAAAGAGCCAGCCAGGGACAGACATTATGCAAGAGTCAAGCCTCTCACACCCCTCCCACAAACCTCATTCCCCTTTCACTAAATACCACTCAATGCACACATCACCTCCGACTGCTCAAGCTGGGCTTTTCCCTGCTTGAGGAGAAACTTCATTGTCAGTGGAACTCTGAGAAACCCCATGTCCTTGTCTAGTTTGTAGCAGAAGCCACAGAAGGAATAGTTAGGGTAAATAATGTAGACACTGGAAGTTTAAACATGCAGGTGGACTGTGGAACACAGCCATATTACCCTGCCATTTATTCCATTATTTTCACAAGAGCAGTTTTTCTAACTGTATTATAATCCAAGGAAAACTCAAATTAGTGGGTTTGGTAGAGATTTGCCATTTTCTTGTTTGTTAGCAAATCTAACATTTTTCATGTTTTGGCATGCATCTGTAAAAAGTAAACATGGGTTCTGTGGTAGTGATACTAATATGAGTACTAAAACAAAGCTGGTTTTTAATGTCATTAAGTGTCTCAACATCCAGATTTCCTTATTACTATTGCAACATCCCAGGGTGTTAAACCAGATTTAATAAGGAATAATAATTCCACCTGGCTGTTACATGAATAATTGACCCTTCTTGGTTTATTAGGACCTGGTTTCCTACTAACAGGACACTCTATTGGGAAGATAACAAAACTTCCTGTTCCTAATGGAAGAGCTCGGAGTTTTGTAGGAAATACGGTGATATCTCTGGGAGAGGTCCAGGAGGGAGGAGGACTCTTCCAGGTTCCTTCTGTGTATGTGCAACTCCGTTCAGTCTACCATCTCTGCACAGAAATTTTTTACTGTGTGGCTCTCCCTAGGATTCTCTGCAGACCAAATTGAATTCTGTGTCCCTGAAGATAGGTGAAAGTTGGAAGACAAGCCAGGGGCTCCGAGGAACCCTAGGGTTTCAGATAGCTGTCAGGAAGGGTGACATTGGTGTGGGATTTTCAGGTCTGGGGATGATGAAGTAGCAGCTGCACATGTTTCAAATTAGTGTTTTGCCAGAAAACAGTTCTGGGAGCATGCTTCCAGACATACAAAGTCTGGCTCAGAAACTCTGGAATAGTGTGGTTGAGTCCAAGATGAGGATGATGATGGGGTTTTGAGCCTGGAAGGTGTGCAGTGTGAGTTCACATTCTAGCTCTGCCACTGCAGGGTCTTCTCATAACCTGACTGACACTCAGTTCACCCATATGTAAGATGAGTGTATTTTTATTACTAGTGAATGCCACTGAATTCCCAGAGAAGCAGTTGTGAAGTGTCCTAAGCAAAGTTAGTATTTGTGGGAGTTTTATTGTTGTTTTTGTACTAGGGATCAAACCCAGGGCCTCGTATATGCCAGGCAAACACTCTATCACTGAACTATATGCCAGCCCATCATGTGATTTATTAATGTCTCTGGCAAGAAAATTTTGAATCTAATCCCGCATTTCATAGCCTGCCTAGCACTCCTGGTGTGAGTTTAGGGAGTTCATAGAAGACCTCGTTTCCAGGGACAGGGAGTTCTACAAGGCATATTGGGGTACTGGATGGTGGCCCTGTTTTTCTTTGGAACAAAGTACTCCTTGTGTAGTATGAGGTAGGAGGCTTCATGAATAGAAATTCCACCCTAAAGAATATCCTTGCAACTTGAATCCTCTCTCTAGCAGCCCAGGCAAAGGAGATTAAGAAAAGAGAAGGTCCTGCTTTGATGTGGACCAAATAATTATTGATAGTACCACCTAGTGTGAATAAGATTTGAGCAATACTACCTCATCCAGAGGCTATCAGAGACAGGATGCTATTTGGAAGTTCTGGATAACTTTCAGAAGAGCAATTTAAGGTGGGCTGTGACCATTAGGGAAGGGCCTAGCAAATATTGCTTATTCTTGGGACAGTGAGGGTATGCCTGGGGTGGAGGGACAGCCTGTCCTGTTTGGCAAATCCTATCTACATTGCTCCATAACACTTCTATAACTTTACTCTGTCCTCTTTATGTACAGAATTAAGTTCCCAAACCTCATCTTCACCACATTGTTCTCTAGACTTAGTGGTGTTCCCTATATCCTGGTGGTTCTTCCTAGTAATTCAGGAAGTTTGCCAGCATCTTGCTGGCTGATGAGAAAGGTAGAGAAAGTTGGATTTGTGGTAGTAAGTGAACAGTACCAGGTCTCATGTTTTGTAGGTGTCGGGCATCTTGGCTTTTTGACTAGTGTTACCTATTTTGCCACAATGAAGTAAAAGCTGTTGTTTTTGAGATCAGTTTCAGCAATTTAAAACAAATTTTATTTTAGAAGATTTTTGCCTTGAACATGCTTATCCTTTTAATCCCAGTGGTTTTCTGTGAATTGTATGAACCCAAGAAGATAATGCAGATTTTTTTTAACTTAATGCCTATAATCTATTCTTGAAATTCATGAGTGCTACAGCCAATAGGGGCCTATTTTTTCATTATTTAAAATGGGAAATTAAGCACAATTGCTTTTACTTCTAGTTTCTTAAAACAGTACACTAGCAACACATAAGTGATAAGATCACAATATAAAAATGTAGACATGATTGCCAGTTTCTCTGTTTGATTCCCATGGCCTCAGTGCCTAAGTCTTGCTGAGGTCTCTCTGGTTAATATTTATTGTGCTTATGAAATCACTCATGTGTGATTGTGAAGTTCTTTTAATTATTTTTGGCATATCATTAAATTATTTCTCACTGCTCTACCAGTATGTTAAAAACATTGAATACGGGGCTGGGGATGTGGCTCCAGCGGTAGCGCGCTCGCCTGGCATGCGTGCGGCCCGGGTTCGATCCTCAGCACCACATACAAACAAAGATGTTGTGTCCGCCAAGAGCTAAAAAATAAATATTAAAATTCTCTCCCTCTCTCTCTAAAAAAAAAAAAAAAAAAAAAAAATTGATTACTATAAGATTACAGGTATCTGTTCGTTACATAATGTATCACCAAAATTTTTCTGAGCTTAAAAACAAAATGGAAGCCTGTCATTTGTTCATGATTCTGTGCATCAACATTTTGTGCTGGATGCATCTGGGCAATGCTTTTGCTGGTGTTGACTGGGATCCCTAATGAAGCATTAGTCATCTTGTCCCTTAAACGACTGGCTCATTGAAGATGGCTTTACTCTTGTCTGCTGGTTTGTGCTGGCCATATGTCTCCAACAGATTAGCTCCAGGCTCCTTCACAAAATGTCAGGCAGGATTCTAAGAAGGCAAATTTTTTTCAAAAAGAATTTTTATCACATTTATTATTGTCCCATTGGCCAGAGCAACTGAAATGGTGAAGCCCAGAGTCATTGTGGAAGGGTTAGGGTTAATATGGAGATGAAGATGCATGGAGACACACCCTAGGGAGTGGTACTCAAAAAAGTGTACTATAGCAGATGCACAATATTCCCATGCTGTCTTTCGGAAAAGACAATAGGTTGTAAGATGCATGCTTTCTGTGAAATTTAAATATGTAAAATTAAGAGATGTTCTAGCAGAAACACTAATACAGAGTGCTACATTATCCATCTGTATTGTTGGGAAAACAGTTAACACTGCCTAAGTTTTGTTGTGTAACTTAAATTTTAGTGATTACATAGTGTTTCTTTCTTTAGTTTCATTAAACATTCATCCTTAAAATTTTACATTATTTCTTCATGTTAACATTATTACTAAATCAATGGCAAATGAGTATTTTCATTAACCTAAGGATAAATTGTATGTTTAATCTCTACCAATAATAGAATTGCTAGTGTTCCTTTAACAAGATATTTTCAATAATTCTCACATATAAGGGACTACATTCATAAAAGGAGGCTTTCTTGTTATTGGTTTTTAGATTTTTTTTTCTTTTTTTCTTTTCCACCAGCTACTGTGTAGAGATCTTTGTACAACAGAACCTAGGATCAAGGCACACCAACTCTCATGATTCCTTCCATTCACCTTGTCTTCCAACTGTAATTCCGTAGTCTCCTGTCTGTCTCCAGGAACAAAGAAAATGAATACCACTGTGGTAAGTTATATTCCTCAGCTTGTTTTAGTGTATTTTAGGAGCTTTTACTCCTTAATTCAAATGGGATTAGAATCAAATAAATTTAACATCGCAAAGAAGATAAAAGTTGATATGTTGATAGAGCCAGATTATAAAACCTTGGAGCCATCTGAACTTCATGCAACTTGGTTTCTGATCTTTCTGATACCATGGCCAAAAGACCTATTTTATATGGCTGGAATTGACACTAAGAGGAGAACACGCTAAATTCTCCTGGTATATGTAATCTAAAACAGAGGCTTGCGTAGATGTTGACAGTGCTTCACTGCCAGACTGCAGTCACAGCATTCTGCCGTATTAGAGAATCTAGTGCTAAAACAAATCAATTAAAACAGTTTTCTGGAGTTGCTAAAACCATGTGGTCCCACACAGCTTTGGAAGACCTAGAATGTGTGGAGGACAGAGTCTGGTACAGGGCTTTAAATAACTGCCAGTACATTGCTACATTGTCTGTGTATGTAAGTCATAATGCAGAGTGTCCAAAGTTGTCTTTTCTGATAAATGTGTCTAGTGCTCATTTGCACTCTAACCTACCCCTCCTTAGTCTTAGTTCAGTTTTTCAAAAGTTCACCAGGAACTTAAATGGTAGTCAACTCCATAGCTGTTCTTGTATCTGCCTTATTCAAGTCTTCTGTCATGACCTTATTCGTGCTTTTTTCTTCTTTTTCCCTGAATTCTGTTTTTTTCTCATTAACAAAGATTATCGAGGTGTTTTGTCCTGTTCCTCATTCACCTACTCTGCCATTTTTGTCTTATTGAGCCCTGTGGTATTAGAAGTACCAGGGTACCTCAAGGAATCAGACACATACTCAGAAGTAGCTGGGCAAGGCAAACTTTACTTCTGCAGAAGTGTGTGCTACTGACCAAAGTCCAATAAGCAAGCACAACTTGGTGGGCAGTCCACCTGTTTTTATCCCTAATGCAGTACTGCCCCTTGCTCTGGCAGGAGGAGCTCGGGGTCATGATCTATGCAATTGTGGTTAATTTTAAAATTGGGGAAGGTAAAGAGAAGGGTTAAGTTAAAATGGCTATGATTGGATACAGATTGGGAAGCTCCAGGTATTTAGATAGATAGGCTACAAGTTGCCTTTCTTATACCAGTTTACATTTAAGGCTAAATACTGTATTCTAAAAATGGACCCCTGGACTCGTATTTTGCACACTGGTTTGAGACTCCGACATATTTCTCTGTTGCGTGGACCTCTTCCCCAGCCTTTAAAGCAATGGTTCACTTACTTGAGGGCCCCTCAGGCTCTATGAATCTTAAGTGAAACCACATCCTCCATTCTTCCCTTCTATATGGTATTTCCATCAGCTACACCTGAAACATCAAAGGGAACTTTGCCCTGGTTCCTCCCGCCCCTCTCTGGTCTTGGAGTCATCAGTTGTTCTTACTGGAATAGTCAATATGCTGGGTATGGATTCTGTATATAACACTCTGCCAAACTACCATCGGTGGACTTAGCAAATGCTCACAGTTACGGTTTATTGTTATGAAAGGACCCACTAAAATTGACAAGAGACCAGCACATATAACAAGTTCCAAGAGTCCTTTTGCATGAGCTTCAGATTATTTTCTGTCAGTGGAAGCCTGTTGTCTTTGGCTCTTTCTCCAAACAACAGTGTCCTGTAACAGCCATGGGATAGTAACAAGAAGGCCATCGTACCCAGGCCCATTTCAAAGTCTTTTTAGGATTCAGTCACATTAACACCTTAGTCTCCAGTACATTCAGAGTTCAAGCTGATATCACATGACTCAAGGCCTGTCCCCACAGATCACATTGTATGCTTGGACTGTCTGTGTGTCCAAAGGCTTAAGGTGAACAAACATTCATACCAGCCAAGATACTCAGGGACAGAGAGAAATTCCCCGGATCTGGGCAAAGGCAGAACCTTTCTTTGGGAACAGTTCTTCACTATATAGTTTGTGACCTGTAGACAGGGCTTCTTGGTTCAGCAGGTTCTCAATTTTCATCACATTTGGAAAATGTTTCCTGTGGTTGGATCCATGGGTGCAAGGCACACAGACACAGAAAACTCCCTCTCTCAAGGTAGAACCATGAGGTTGGTCATGTTCTCCCTACTTCACAGACTGTGACCTTTTTAAGCTGTTGGAATTTTGTTAATTCTTTTAGGTGAAAAAAATGCATTGCAGTGTATTTTTAATTTGTGTTTTCAATTTTTGTCAGAATTTGAGCATGTCTTCATACTTTCAAAACTTCATATCTATGGAGGGTGGGGAGTGCCATGTCAGTTTGGGCTCCTTACTTTTCATTGAAATGCTCACTCTTTCTCTGTTTTTTATTATGAACATAATACTAATTATGGGGAAGGTAGGTTTTATGTGATGTGGCTTGTTTTTCTTTTGGCTTTGCTGTTTGTTTTTCCTTTTGTCATAAGAAGAAATGTTTTTATATTTATACTCAGGTTTCTCAGTTTTTAGTTGATGCTGATAAAATATCCTTTCCTAACTGAAGATAAAAAGCAGAGTCATTTCATCATGTAATTCTTTTACTTTTTTATGCACTTACTAAATAAAGGTACCACTTATTAAAGTGCTTATCTGTTCATCCCATGGATTCCCTGTGAGTTTGAGTTGTCATCCATACACTAGAATGGTCTTCTCTAATTGTTGCTTTTTTTGTGGGTTTTTAGAATATCAGGGGCAGTGACCTAGATTGTGTTTTGGTAATCGCAAATTATCGAAGGATCACACATTTCCTGTGTGCATCAAATCTCTGTGGCTATGACAGCTCGACAGAATGGTGTTTCTGGAGCATTCTGACCATAATGACTGGAAGGAAAAGAGCAATGAATTAAACACCAGCTTTTACTGCTCATCAGAAGTGACAGTTCACTTCTACTGACATTTCCTCGGCCCAGTGTGAGGTTTCTCTCCTTGCCAGAGTTCCTTCATCATGAAAGTGAGAATATACAGTCTTTTCTCAAAAACAGCAATGAGAAACATATGGGCTGGCATCACAACATCTGGAATTCCTCTCTTACACGTTTTTCACTTCCTCTTTTTGTCACAGACACCCCTGTAGTCCCAACTGTTCAGCACTTTGCACTGAAAGTCCAGGATCTCTGACTGAGGCCATGTCACCCAAATGTGAGCTATCATGTTCCAGGGACTTGTGACCTAAAAAGAAAAGTTGCAGTCTACTCTGTACCTAGTATACGAAGGTGGTGGGTGGGCAGGACAACAATAAACTGGAGGGGGGAACCACTAGAGACATCTCCATGGCATTTGAAACCCTGGGTTGAGTCCCCTCTACCAAGAGTGGACACCTTACTTCATGAGGCCTGGATTCTGCACCCAGGGACTCCCAGACACTCTTCTTCATGGCAGCTCTCTCTGCTTCTGTAATTCTTCTGTCACCCAGTTTGGTCTGTCTTGATGAGTGCCTTTAAATCTGTTATGTTCAAAGGTAGGGTGCCTTTTAGTTTTGGGTTTGGTTTTAGTTTTTTGTTATTGGTTGGTAGTGGGGTTGGAACCCAGGGGCACTTTAACACTGAGCTATATCCCCAGTCTTTTTATTTTTTATTTTGAGACAGGGTCTCACTGAGTTGCTAACGATAGTCTAGAACTTCTGATCCTCTTGCCTCAGCCTCCAAGTCACTGGGATTACAGGTGTGCACCTCTGCACCCAGCTTGGGTGCCCTTTAGACATACTTACTGTTCATATCATTAAAAAGCCTTTTGGGGGGCTGGGGATATGGCTCAAGTGGTGGCGTGCTCACCTGGCATGCGTGAAGCACTGGGTTCGATCCTCAGCATCACATAGAAATAAAGACATTGTGTCCACCTAAAGCTAAAAAATTTTTAAAAATTTAAAAATTTTTTTAAAAGCCTTTTGCCTTAACCCACCATCAATTTTTCTTCAGTTTGATTGGTTTGGTGGTAGTTTTGTTTTTTGGTACTGGGGATTGAACCTGAGGTGCTTTACCACTGAGCTGCCTCCCCCACCCTTTTAAATTTTGAGATAGGGTTTCCATAAGTTGTTGTTGTTTTTGTGTTATTATCTTGTTGAATGTTAATTTATTGAATGTTCTTACTGGAATAGTTTTGAGGATACTCTTTTTTGTTTTTAGGTATAAATTACAAGGGTATCATCATAATCTTTCTCATTTTTGAGTTTCTCTTTTCATTTAAATTAATTAGTACTTTTCCTACAGTGGAAAATAGTCATAGTGAAGCAGCAACTTCACCCTTTCTTGCTTCCCTGGTCATGCTGCCTTTTAGGCCTGGAGATTTACATTTATCATGTTAAAAAGAATGTCCTGAGTTCTGTTATTGAGGGTCTTAGTCATTATCTCTTCCCTCAATTTTAGTTTACACTCAGCTCCTTTCTAGCTGTTGCCCAGACACCTTGGAAGTAGACTCCCATTTCCACTCTAGGCATAACAAATAAGCACCAAATTCTACTCCTGATTCTGTTTTTGTGTCCCCACACCCGCACTGCCCAGCTCTCCCTTGAGTCCTTCTGCATTCTCCTTTCACCACACACCTTTTCAGGTAACTTACAACGTTTTTACTGACCCCTCATTATTTGCATGCTGTGTAAGAAGTGGGTGATGCTCACTTTTATGTGGACACTAGTATATCTTTTGAATTTGGGAGGGAAATATGACTATGTACTTTAATTTGTAAGTGATTTGCCAACAGTGGGCACATGAAATTTAAGGCGTTGGAATGGTGCTAGGGGTTGAAATGCAAAAGCACCCTGTTGTGAGTTATCTGAACACATTTCACTGGTCAACTCACACAGGAATATTCACCTGTATATGTTGTTGTTTGTAGTTCCATTAACCTGCATGTTTTGTGGCTTTCACATCTTGACTTCTGTTGCTTCATATTCATGAGAATTCAGGTAGAAGATATAACAGTGAAGTTCAACCTGGTAACAATCTGGTTTTGTCATTTTCTATTTCTTTATCGCCCTGTTCTATGCCGAACATGTGGCTTAGTTCAACTAACACATTATCCCTAGTATGTGTTTATGTCTTCAGACTGGATTCAGCTCTTTTCAGGAGTAGAATCGTATTCATCCTGTTCTTGCTAGGAAAAAAAGAATAGTTATGAATCTATAAGAATTCTTTAATAGTATTTTTTTTAATTACAAGACAGGGTCTCACTAATTTGCAGAGGCTAGCTTTGAACTTGGCAGTTCACGTGCCTCAGCCTCCCAAATTGCTAGGATTACAGGTGTGCACCACCACACACAACATAAGTTGCATCTTACCTAAGATACTTGTTCACACACAAGAGTGAGCTCCATATTCCTTTTCTGACCCAGGGTGGAAGGCTTGGGCTAAAGAGACATGTACCATTACAGGGGATGGTGTCCTTCGAGGATGTGTCCGTGGACTTCACCTGGGAGGAGTGGCAGGACCTGGATGATGCTCAGAGGATCCTCTACAGGGATGTGATGCTGGAGACCTACAGAAGCCTGGTGTCCTTGGGTGAGTGAAATGCCCTGGTAATCTTACTAGAAGCATTTTCTTTGTCAGCAAATATAGGAATCATTTTTAAGTTTTAATATTACTATTATGTGTTTTTAACTGACATAGTAGTTGCACATGTTTATGGGGTAGAGTGTGACATTTCAATACAGGTATATAGTGTATAATGATCAGATCAGGGTAATTGGCAAGTTCATCACTCACATATATATCACTTCTTTATATTGGGATCATTTAAAATTCTTTTTACTATCTTTTTTATTTTTATTTTTAGTTATAGATAGATACAATACCTTTGTTTTATTTATTTTTATGTGGTGCTAAGTTTTGAACCCAGTGCCTTAAGCGTGATAGGCAAACACTCTACTCCTGAGCCACAATTCCAGCCCTTTACTAGCTATTTTGAAATGTTCAGTTAATTGTTGTCAACCATAGTTGTTCTTCTATGCTACAGAATATTAGAAGTTATTCCTCCTATCCTAAAGCAACCCTGAACATACTAACCCACCTTCTTTCCCCTGTACCCTTCCCATGCTCTGGTAAACACAGTTCTCTCCACACATGGGAGAATATGCAGGATTTGTTTTTCTCCTCCTGACTAATTTTAGTTAACATAATGTTCTTTAGTTACATTCATGTTGCTACAAATGATGGAATTTTGTTTTCTAAATGTGTATGTGTATCGAGTTTTCTTTATCCTTTCATCTGTCCATGCATACCGAAGTTGATCCTCATCATGGCTTTTGTGAATAGTACTGCAGTAAATGTGCTAAGCATAGTTTCAGCCACGCGACCAGCACGCTAGCTTCATAATAGAGGTTCGAAGCATAAAAATTAACTAGTGAGTTTTAAAATTAAAGAGACATAATTCTCATTTCCTTATTTGCCCAGCCCAGAGACAGCTCCTCCTAGCTCCTGCCTCCAGCCACCTAATGTGGTGGTGAGGTTAACATGAGAGGCCAGCGAGAGAGAGGGAACATGCCAGGGAGTGAGCTTTTATTGGGGAACAAAAAATTCAAGGGAAAATTCCATCCAGTGAAGGTCGAGGGGTCCAAGGTAAGGGTCATTGATTGGTCTTCGGATCAGTGGTCAGGCACACCCTCCACACGGACAAGCCCTCGCACCTGGGACAGGGTGGGGAAGGCTCTGACACAGCTGTGTCTAAGCACCTCTCATCCAGCCAGGGAGGTAACTCAAATCACGTGCGAGAATGGCTTCCCACAATAGTTTTCTCTTCAAAGCACTGGGTTCGCCTCCTTTGGCTATGGGCAACTGACTGTATCATGTGGTAGTTCTATTTCTAATTTTTTGAGAAAACTTCCTACTGGTTTTCATAGCATCTCTCTTTCTCATTCCCACCCACAGCATGGGAGAGCACTTCTTCCTCTGTATCCTACAGGCCTGTGTTACATTGTATCATTTTGATAATAGCCACGCTGACTGCTGACTGCAGACTGCAGTGCATTAATGCCTCCTCCAGGTTCTGATTAGAGACCTGGAGGTTTAGTCATATACTTGTGGATTGTTTGTGTTCTCTTTTGAGAATGCCTATTCTGGTCATCTGTTCAGTTTTTAATTGGTTTATTTCTCTGCTGTTGAATTCCTCATATATTCCAGAAATTAATGTTTTTGGGGTAAATGGTAAATATTTTCTGCATTAGATGCATTGACTATACACTCTGCTAATTGTTTTTTTGTCAGAAGCCTTTTAGTTTGACATAATCTTTTGTTGTTGTTGTTGTTGTTTTGGTGCTGGGGATTGAATTTGGGGACAATTGACCACTGAGCCATATCCCCAGACCTATTTTGTATTTTATTTAGAGACAGGATCTCACTGAGTTGCTTAGCACCTTGCCATTGCCGAGGCTGGCTTTAAGCTCGGAATCCTTCTGCCTCAACCTCCTGAGCTGCTGGGATTACAGGCATGCACCACTGCACTCAGCCTACTTTGATATAATCTAATTTATCAGTTTTTGCTATTTTTGTCTGTGCTTTTGGGGTCATGTCAAAAAAATTTTTTGCGTAGGGCTTGCTGGTGCATGCCTTAGTCCCAGCATTCAGGAGGATAAAGTGGAAGAGTCAGTCCAGCCCAGGAGTTTTGAGACCAGCCTGTGCAAACATAACAAGATCCCATATCAAAAAACAAAAACTTTGCTTCGATCAATGTCCTGAAGTGAAATCCCCTGTTTTCCCTTTGCAGTTTCATAATTTCAAGTCTTAATATTGAAGTTTTTAATATGTTTTGTGTTGATTTCTTTATGTGGTGAGAGGTGGGGTCTAATATCTTCCATCGTCACGTGGATATCCAGTTTTCCGAGCATTTACTGAAGAAAGCTTCCTTTCTCAATATATGCTTATGCTGCCCCTCGTGAAAATCAGTTGGCTGTAAATATATAGATTTACTATTGGTTTCTCTCTCATGTTCCATTGGCCTATTTGTCTTTTCTTATGCCAGTATCCTGATGTATTTGTTATTGTCACTTTGTGGTGTGTTTTGAAGACAGCTTTTATACTAATTCCAGATTTGTTCATTTTGTTCATAATTGCTTTTACTATTCAGGATCTTTTGTGCATCCATATAAAGTTTAGAACTCTTTTTTCCCAGTAAATGCTCTCCCAATTTATAACACTGGTTTGTCCTTCTCTGTGCATGTGTGCGCACACGCGCGCACGTGTTTGTCTTTAATTTCTTTCAGTATTTCATAATTTTCACATAGAGATTCATCAGTTGCTTGGTAAAATTTATTCTAAATGTTTTATTTTTCAGTAGCTATTATGAATGGGATTGTTTTCTTGTTTTTTAATCTCAGCAGTTTCATTATTGTATTTTAAAAACTACAGATTTTTATGTTGATTTTGTTCCCTGAAATCATACTGAATTCATTTATTTATTCTAACAGTTTTTTTTTGTTGGAATCTTTAGGTTTTCCTGTAAATACAAAATCATGTCATTTGTATATAAGGACAGTTTGACCTCCTTTCTGATCTGCATGCCCTTTATTTTGTTCACTTGTCTTATTTCCAGTACTATGTTAAATAATTGTGGTAAAAGTAGACCCTTTTCTTACTACATATTTTAGAGGAAACAATTTTAGGTTTTCCCCATTCATTAAGATGTAGGCTGGGGCTGGAGTTGTAGCTCAGTGGCAGAGCACTTGCCTAGCATGTGAGGCACTGGGTTTGACTCTCAGGACCAGACAAAAATAAATAATGAATTGGGGGTGGGGATGTGGCTCAAGCGGTAGCACCCTTGCCTGGCATGTGTGCGGCCCGGGTTTGATCCTCAGCACCACATACAAACAAAGATGTTGTGTCCGCCGAAAACTAAAAAATAAATACTAAAAAATTCTCTCTCTCTCTCTCTCTCTCTCTCTCTCTCTCTCTAAAAAAAAATAAAATAAAATGAATAAATAAATAATGAATAAATAAAATAAAGGTATTGTGTCCATTAAAGAAATAAAAAGATGTAGGCCATGGGTTTGTCATATTTAGCCCCTATGGCACTAAGGTATATTCCTTCTAAGTTTTTGAGAGTTGTATTAATAAAAGGATGTTGAATTTTATGATCTTCCTTTTTGTGTCTGTTGAGATATGCATATTGTTTTGTGGGGTTTTTTTGCTACCCCCAAGTCTCCTCTCTGCCCCTCCCTCCCCTTTGCCCAAAGTTCCTCCATTCTTCCCATGCCCACCCACACCCTGCCCCATTATGGATGAGCATCCCCTTATCAGAGAGAACATTTGGTCTTTGGGTTTTGGGGGTTGGCTTACTTCAATTAGCATGATATTCTCCAACTCTATCCATTTACTTGCAAATGCCATAATTTTATTCTCTTTTAATGCTGAGAATGTTCCATTGTGTATGTATACCACAGTTGCTTTATCCATTCATCTATTGAAGGGCATCTAAGTTGCTTCCACAGTTTAGCTACTGTGAATTGAGCTGCTATAAATGTTACGTGGCTGCATCACTATAGTATGCTCATTTTAAGTCCTTTGGATATAGACCCAGGAGTGGTATAGATAGCTTGGTCAAATGGTGGTTCCATTCCCAGTTTTTTAAGGAACCTCCTTACTGCTTTCCAGAGTGGTTACATCAATTTGCAGTGCCACCAGCAACGTATGAGTGTACCTTTTCCCTCACATCCTTGCCAACACTTATTGTTGCTTGTGCATATAGTTTTAATTCTCCATTCTGTTGATATGATGAATTACATTTATGGATTTGCATATATTGAGCCAGTGTTGCATCCTTGGGATAAGTCACATATGATCATGGTGTATGATCTTGTGTCCTCTTTAATTTTATTTGTTAACATTTTGTTGAGAATTGCGTTCATGTTCATCTCCTTGGATTATTGGTCTTTAGTTTTGTTTTTTTGTTGTTGTTTGTTTATTTTTGTTGTTGTGTCTTTTGATATCAAGGGTAATGCTGTTCTAATTTATTGAGTTTGGAGGGTTCTCTCCCTTTCAAGACTTGGGAATAACTTTAGAATTCATGTTAGTTCTTCTTTAAAAGTTGACACAATTTACCAGTGAAACTCTCCAGTCCTTCCTGGGCTTTACTTTGTCGGGAGCTTTTTCATTCAGGATTTAGTCTCATTGTGAATTATTAGTCTGTTCAGATTTTGTATGTCTTCGTGGTTCAATTTTGGTAGGTTGTATGTCCAGCAAGTTATCCATATTTTCCAGGTTTTCAATTGGTGTATAGTTGCTAATAGTCCTTTGTGTTTCTGTGATTTCACTTTAAATGTGTTCTTTGTCATGTCTATTGTAATTTATTTGAATCTTCTTTCTTCCTTGGTTAGCTTAGCTAAAAATTTGTCAGTTTCATTTATCTTAAAAAAGAAAAGAAAAACTTTGTTTTATTGGTCCTTTGTATTCTTTTTTTGTTTGTTTTGTTTTCAGTCTCAATTTTTTTTATTTTTGTTTTGTTTTGTATGGATGTAGGTACTTATTGCTGTAAACTTCCCCTTTAGTGGCATTTTTGCTCCATAGTACTGATTTTGTACCCATAGGTTTTGGCTACTGTGTTTTTCAAATTCATTTATCTCAATAAATTCTAAAATTTGCATTTTAATTTCTTTCTTACCAATCAGTCATTCAAAGAATATTTAGTTCCACATATTGGTAAAATTTCTAATGTGTATTTTATTGTCAACATCTGTTTTTTTCCATCATAGTCAGAGAAGGACACATAGCATGATTTTAATTTTTTTTAATTTGTAGAGACTTATTTTGTCTCCTAACATTTTATCTACCCTAGAGAACATTCAATATGCTTATGAGAAAAATGTATATCTTTCAGCCATTGGGTGAGATGCTCTGGAAGTGTCTGTAGGTTCAGTTTGTCTGTGGCCTGGTTTAACACCAGTATTTCTTTGCTCCTTGATTACCCAGACGACCTGACTGTTGAAGTCCCCATGTATACTGTATTAGCGTCTGCTTCTCCTTTTAGATCTAGTAATGTGTGCGTTATAAATGATTGCTCCAACATGGGGTGTATGTGTCCTTACAGTTGCTGATTCCTTTATCACTGTGTAGTGCATTCTATAATGCAGATTTAATATGCTTTGTGTGATGCAAGTATAGGTGTATCTTCCTCCAAGTGGTTCCTGTTTGCAGAGCATATCCTTCTCCACCCCTTCACTTTCAGTCCCTGTGCTCTGCCCTTGTGAAGTGGTTTTAAGGCAACATATCATTGCATCTAGTTTTCTTTTTATCCCTTCAGTCATCTCTTGGGAAATTTCTTCTTTTTACACATTCAGGGTTATTACTGATATGTACAGACTTACTCCTGTCATTGTTATTTTCTTTCCTGGTTGTTTTGAATATCCGTTTCATTTCTTCCTCTCTGGTTAATTCTCGTTTGGTGATTTCCTGTATTGATAGGGATTTATTCTTTTTCTTTGTATGCTCTGTACTCTGTGTGTCTTGATGGTAGTTATCATCCTTTCCCTTCTAGTGTAGGACTCCTCCTCCCTTAAGCACTTTTGTACATCTGATGGTGAAGAATTCCCTCAGCTTTTGCTTGTCTTGGAAAGTCTTTCTTCTTTATTTCTGAAGGATAGCTTTTCTGGGTACATAGTCTTGGCTAGCATTTTTCCCCCCAGAACTTTCAATGTTATCCTGTGAGGTTTCTGTTGAGAATCTACTGCTTCTCTAATGGGGGCCTCTCTTTATTTATTTATTTATTTATTTTTTTTGTAGGTAACTTGATGTTTTTCTCTTGCAGTTTTCACAGTTCCCTTTGTCTTATAGTTTTGACAGTTTTACTATAACATGACTCAAAGGACCATTTTTGCTAAAATTCATAAGGGAGTTTCCTGGACTGAATGCCCATATGTTTCCCAGATTAAAAAGTTTGACAAGTTGTTTCATTGCATATATTTTTTAAATGTCTGTCTATTCTCTGTCTGGAATACCTATAATGCAAATTTTTGCTTTCTTTATGATGACCAAAAGTCTTAAAGGCATTCTTCGTTTTTCTTAACTTTTTCTTTTTAAGATCCGACATGATTATTTTAAAATACCTGTCTCCAAGATCAGAAACTGATTCTTCTTTCTGATCAATTATGCTGTTTACGCTTTTAGCTGACTTGTTTGCTTATGTTTTTCCCTTTCTTCTTTCTAATTTTATTGAGTTTTTTATCTCCCCTGATTTCTGATTGGTTCTTTTTTATTTCATCTATGTCTTTGTCCAATTTCTTCTACATTTCATAACGTGTGTTTCTAACTTCTTGGTATTGTCCATCTGTATTCTTCTGTCTCCTCAGTTTTCTTAAAAATCATTCATTGAATTATTTCTCCAGCTGTTTAATTCTGCCCCAGTACATTGTTCCAGACCATAATAATGTGAGTGAGATGCTCTCACAAAGTGTTTAGATCAGTCTCATCATTGCACAGCTCCCGAAAGGCTGTGTCATCCCTAAGTGCACCTGACAAGCAGCCTGGCACAAATCTTTCACTGTTTTCTGTTAACAGGGCACTGCGTTGCAAAACCTGAGGTGATCTTCAAGCTGGAGCAAGGTGCTGGGCCGTGGACAGTAGGCGAAGCCCCGCACCAGTGCCTCCCAGGTCAGTCAGTGCATGCTGCGCAGGGAGACCAGAAGGAGAGCCCCACAGACACCAGCCACGTTGAGCTGTTTTCATCTGTGTTTCCTCAGGTCCCAATCCTGAGGAAGCAGGTCTTGTGCTTCAGCCCCTTCCTTTGTACAGTCTCCAAGGAGTGCTCTCTCATGTACACCCATGTTTATGTTCTCATAATGTGTGCTTCATTAAATTTTCCCAAACCCCCAACCCCCATATGGATCTTGACATTTTGATTGGTTACTTTTCTTTCCTCCAGTTTCATAGCCTACTGTTTCAGGCATTTTATTCACATTATTTCTTTAGCACTTGCTAGTTAATCACTTTATAGGCAGTGTTTTTTTAAACTGTGGGGATAACAACATTAATGAAACAAATGCATCTTCTCTTTACATTTTGTTGAGGAAAAAAATATAACACATGTATATAATATTTGGCAGTAAGAGCCACAAAGAATATTTTATTAGGATGAGAGAAAGAAAAACATGTTGTTATGATTTTAGAAACGTAAAGAGAAGAAAGTTTTAAGGAAATTGTCATCCCTTGGACTCATTTTGAGATGATGTTTTCCAAGTTTGGTATATAAAACATAGGTAGATGTAAAATCTAGATTTTGAGACTGGTCATGAGTATAATGGAGATACAGATTTGGAAATCAATAGCCTAATGCTAGTATTTACATCATAGTTATTCAGGTTGTCACCTAAGGAATGGATAAGAAAATCAGAAGAGAGGTCCAAGGCTGGAGCCTTGTGCACCACGTCAGGACTCATGAGGTGAGGAACACCCAGCATAAAAGTATGCAAATTGATAGTCCTGGACTGGGAGGACAACCGGGAGACTTTGGGTCTGCAGGCCAAGGGAATCAGGAACTTCATGTTGAAAGGCTTCAGTGTCTGTTGGGAAATGGAATTTGTACTTAGCCTTTACCCTTCATGCTGTGGAAATCATTCAAAGACAATAGATTTGTACAGGAGACTCTCTTTTCTGTGAAAGTAGAAGACGGCTGAACCTCCAAACACAAAAGCCTACAGAAGCAGTGAGCTGCCAGCCAGGGTACATGTGCCTGGGACTGGGAGAGGATGCCATTAATGTTGAGCCAGAAAGGCAGTAGCAACAACTGATACAAACAACATACATTTCAAAGATGGCAGGTTCAGCTTGGTTTACTGAGCCAAATCCTTTATATTCCAGCAAGAAGATGGATTGGAGCTTCCTGAGAAGCATAGATACATTAGATTAGGAATTAAGTGGAAGCTGTCTTTAGTGTGGGAAGGGTAACTTGAATTCTTAAAACCCCAAAGGTTTCTACTACATTTCCTTAGGGAAAAGTAAAAACTAAAACACAAAGATAGCAGTTCTTTCCTAAACTATATTCCTGCTCAGGTGAGAGACAGATCAGCCATGCCTGCATGATGTAAGTAGCTAACCCAAGAAAACTTGGCCACTAAAAACCTGAAAGAGAAGCACAGCAGGGTGGAATTATATCTACAAATGTTGTAAGAAAGAACTAGAGAAAAAGAACAGAACAAATAACAGATGAAACCAGTGAAACCTTCAGCTAGGCATTCGGTGAGTGTTTTAACCAAATATCTTCCTACATTTCAGAAGAATAAAGTAACCTCAAGCAAAAAAGTAACATGATAGATACTAAAATTATTAATTATAATTTTTACATTCATTAGGGCCAAAACACTCATAAATCACAGTTATTTTGCAGTTTCACGTCATTAGGATAAGAAGGCACTTCTTTGTGTTTGAATTTCATAGCAAATGCTCATGTGTTTTTCATGAATATTGTTCTTTTTTGTATCATTTTAGATGTCCAGAAAGTGAATGGCCTGAATGAGACCAGCCAGGAAAAGCAAGAGAGGCATTTCTGGCAAATTGTACTCCCCAACAGCAGCACCTCAACTGAGGAGAGGTTCACATTAGGAACAAGATTTAACTTGAGCTCAAAGCAGGTTTCAAGTCCGGCTCCAAAGAGTGGGCCAGAGGGGCTTAATGTGTGGCAGAAGGAGCTTCTCCCTAGCAAGCCTGAGGAGGTGCAGGATGGAGAGGAGCCTAGTGGTCTTAACATTCCTGAGAAGCCCCCCAGGCATCCTGATCAAAGAAGTCTACTAAAGGTTCAAAGTAGGCAGCAGCAGTTCCATCACGGTGGACAGGGGAAATCCTTCACAGTGAAGGCATTGTGGACACTGAAGAAGCTTCATGTGGGAGAGGCCTCCAGCACACTCAGTGGAGGTGGAAAAACCCTGGATAAGGTGGCACTTACTGCCCAAGAGATGACTCAGGTAAGAGAGAAAACTTCAGAATGTAATATGTGTGGGGAAACTTTCTGTAAAAACTCTAAAGTCAATGCACATAAGAAAATACAGAGAAGACTGAAATGTGATGAATGTAGTGGTGGCAAGAAGCTATTGGTTAAGAAGCCATACCTTACGAAACTCCACAGGTCACAATCAGAATCAGAGGGAAAGCCCCATACAGTCAATGAATGTGAGAACTTTTGTCAGAAGACACGACCTACTGGGCACCAGAGGACTCACAGAAGAGCAAGACCCTTTGAAGGTTACGAATATGGAAAGCACTTTCCCCAGAAGTCACACCTCAGCAGGCATCAGGGAACTCCCATAGGGGAGAAGCCCTATGAGTGCAGTATGTGTGGGAAATCCTTTTCCCGGAAGTCCCACCTCAGCAGGCACCAGGGCACACACACAGGCGAGAAACCCTATGGGTGTAAGGAATGCTGGAAGACGTTCTACCATAAGTCGTCCCTCACGATTCATCAGAGAACTCACACAGGTGAGAAGCCCTATGAGTGTAAGAAGTGCAGGAAAAGCTTCTACTGTAAATCAGATCTCACTGTGCATCAGAGGACTCACACGGGTGAGAAGCCCTACACGTGTGAAGCCTGCAGGAAGACTTTCTACTCTAAGTCACACCTCACTGTGCACCAGAGAATTCACACGGGTGACAAGCCTTATGCCTGTAAGGAATGCAGGAAGACTTTCAACCGCAAGTCTAACCTCACCGTGCACCAGAGAACGCACACGGGTGAGAAGCCCTATGAGTGTGATGTGTGCGGGAAAACCTTCTATCAAAAGTCCCACCTCAGCACGCACCAGGGAACTCACACAGACGAGAAGCCTTATGAGTGTGAGCACTGCAGGAAGGCTTTCCTTCACAAGTCATCCCTCACTGTGCATCAGAAAACTCACTCGGGCAGCAAGCCGTACACCTGTGAAGAGTGCAGGAAGACATTCCTGCATAAGTCTTCCCTCACCGTCCATCAGAGGGCTCACACAGGCCACAAGCCCTATGTCTGTGAGGACTGCAGGAAGGCTTTCTACTGCAAGTCACACCTCACTGTGCATCGGAGAACCCACACAGGCGAGAAACCCTATGAGTGCGGCGAGTGTGAAAAAGCCTTTCACCAGAAGTCATACCTCAGCAGGCATCAGATGACTCACCAGAATGAGAAGCAGTATGAATGTCAAGAATGCAGGAAAACTTTCTACCGTAAGTCATCCTTCACTGTCCATCAGAGAACACACCTGGGGAAGACGGCACGAATATGATGTATATGGAGAGCTCTTCCACCAGGCATCAGAAAATGCACACAGGGGAATCCTCCCACAGTGAGCAAGTGTGGGGACAGAGTTAGCGAGAAGGCACATGTCAGCAGATGCCAGGGATGCCAGAGAGAGAAGTCCCCGCAGCAGGCTCTGTGGTCCCCAGAATCCAGTTCTCTCTGGGGTGCTCAGCCTCCAGGGGGCGCCTCTCCTGTGTGGGCCCTGGAGCTGAGTTGCACAGCAGAATGTGTACCTGTGGCAGTCATTCCCCACAGCCCAGCCCAGCCCAGCCCAGCCCAGCTCAGAACTTCATCAGGTTCTGCTCCCTGAGTTCTCATGCATCCTGGGCCTCATGTGAGCATGACATACCAGGTGGCTGGCCTTGAGAGCCAGAGATACAGGCACTGGGACTTAAGAGAAATGTAATTTATTGGAGAGAGCAGAGGTCTTTCTACTTGTATCCCAGAATGCTCCATTCTTATTTCACATGAGCAAGAAATACTCTGTTGGACCAGTGCATGAGCTATTTGCATTTCATTGCAAACCCACTGTAGTTAATTCACTTTATAAAGTTTCTGAGAGAAGTTACCTCTCTTTTTATATTGCAAAAATTCCCACATGAGAGAAACCTGTACTGTCACCTTTGATTCCCAAGTCAGCTTATGGAAAATAGGAACAATCATATGGAAAAATAACAAATGGAGAATGTCTTATCAGGCAGGTAACTTTCATGAACACTTTATGAATAAAGTAAACCTTCATACATTTCTTTAACTTGTAAAAGCTTTTAACACACCTGACTTTTTATGTATAAACTTTGTAATGAAGGAAATTATCAGTATATGTAATTTGTATGTTAATTTTCCAATGAAAGTGTTGAATATAGTATTGGAGATTATTTTAAAATATTTGACTATATACCAGAAAATACTGCCTGTCAGAGGGTCCTTATCATTATGTACAGAGTCACTGCAGTTGGAAGGAGGCAAGCAGGTGGCATAGCAAGATCCCATCTCAAAACAAAGAAGCAGATGGATGCTGACTAGGCTTACATCAGGAATGCCATAGAGGCTACTCAGGGCCTTTCTGAGTTACTGTGGCTGGCTTTGAACTTGTAATTCTCCTTCCTTGGCCTCCTCAGCAGCTGGGATTACAGGAAGGCCTGTGCCACCTCACCCAGCCAGGGGGTCTCTCACATTTCCACTGTCCCTAGACTCCGGGTCCCACTGCTCTCCTTCATTTCCTGAAAGTTAATAAGACTGCTCTGGAAGGCAGGCAGATCTAAGTCCATCAGAAAGCCCCCTGAAGCATTCCTAGTCCCATCCTCACCACCCTCATGCCAGGGTCAGGAGATCAGACAGTGTGAATGAAAAGGCCTTGGACTTGCATCCAGCTTTGGGCTCTGTAGAAGGGACCAGGGAAACTGAAGCCTCAAAGAAACAGTGCCCATACTGTTGTCCACATTGGACCTTCCTGACTTTGGAGTACCCACCTGAGTCTCCTTCCCTGTGCACTGCCTGAGAGGCACACAGCCCAGCTTAGCCGCTGTCCTGTACTTTTTTCCTCAGGCAGCCCTTGATCTTCTCCATGAGGAGAGCAGGCTGGTGTCATGTGCAGGCCCAGCGCTCACAGTGGGCAGGCTTGTGTGGTGTCTGTGAGGCTCAGGGAGGATGTTCCAAGCCCTGAGACCTGAGAGCAGGCTAGTGTTATGTACAGGCCCAGCAATCACAGTGGGCAGGCTGGTGGGGTATCTGTGAGGCTCAGGGAAAAGGTTCCAAGCCCTGAGACCTGAGGGCTCTGTACAGGCTCCCTAACCATCAGGATCCTGTCCTGACTCCTGCCACATCGCCCCCAGTCACCTCCACCATGGATCCCAGCCACACCTCACCCAAGTCACCATGAGCCAGCTCGCCCTGCTCCTGCCCAGTTTCTTTGCTGGAGGCACCTCTCCTAGCCACAGCAGAAGGGAAGAGCTGAAGGAGAAAGCTCACCTGCTCTCTTGATCTGGAGGCCTCTCCCCACCTCAAGGCCCTCACTTGCTGCTGCTTTTTCTTCTGGACTGCCTGGGGTTCATCCCTAGGGGGTCCAGGTTGAGGTGCTCCACAACCATGGTCAGAGAAAAGGTAATGAAAATTCCCTGCACTGGTTAGTACTTGACCCTTGACTGTGGGCCCTGGATAAGTGGGTGAGCCAGGTACAGTGATGCTCCCAGATCCAGCACTCGGAGTGTCACCTCAGGCTGTGGCCTGGTCTCTCCAGCCTGACCTCATCTGGAACCTGTGATGTGAACTCACACCTGCCTCACGGTGCCACAGCCCTGAGAGTACCAGTAGCAAGCTCTCTCGCATGTTCTCCCGCCTAAACCTAGTGCCACACGCCATGCCTGCACATCAGGGTCATCAAATACCCATTTTCCAGATGAGAATCAGAGACGTAAAGGAAAACGGTGACTTCCCTCCCCTAGGAGTACATCCCATCTCAGCTATGTTCCCCCCATACCCTGGCACCACTAACTACAGTCCCATCCTCTGAGCTCTCGAGGTGTGTGCAGGGCCCAGGAAGGCACAGCCATGGTAGGAGAGGGGCAGGGTGTCCCAGGCAGGATAAATGGCCCCTACTGTCCTCACCCCAAACAATCTTCAGAAGCAGGCCCTGAGGCCATGTTCAACTTCACCTCCTGAGGGAGTTTGCAGAACGGAACACTCCCTCTCCACTCAGGAGGTGCTCTCCCAAAGGGCCTGTTCTCACTGAGGGGGCTGAGCTGAGGTTTTACTCTTTGACATGGAAATGTCTTAACATCTGGTCAGGAAGGATCCACTAAGCATGCACAACCTCACAGATACTCTCATAAAACATCTGACAATTGCATTGCTGCTAACGGGTCATCAGTGTAACAGTCCTGGGATGGTTACCCAGCAAGTCACCTGAGAAATGACCAGTGGGACCCTTGTGCTGATTCCTGTATGGAGCAACCTCCCCGCATGTCCTCCTCAGGTGGCCCTCACAGGTGGAGGGGCCAGTGCAGGAAGCATAGGCAGACACTCTGTTTTCCCACTGCAGGCTTGTACACAATGGCTGATGCCCCCCAAGGAGAGGGTTGTGCCCTGTGGATCCTGCCCCTGGGTGTCTGGCACTCCCTCTTCCACTCACTCATTCCGCAGATACTCTCTGCCCTGCTTTGAGTCCAACACTGTGCTTCCCCAGCCATCCTGACCCTTGTGAGTTTCCCAGGTGAGCTCAGGCCCACTGTGTAAAGGAGGAAGTACGGCCCTGGGGTAGGCAGGGAAGGTGGGCACCAAGAATCACTCATTTTATTGTGTGGGAGGTTCACAATTTCAGGAAGTGTCAGAGATTGATCAAACTGGTGTATAGATTCAACTCCATCCCTAGGAAATCCCAGGGAGGCTTTTTGGTTTTATTATTGCAGACTTTTACGAGTTAATTTTACAATCCATATTACTCCATGATGGCCAGTAACAAGTATTGTCAAGGATGTGCAGACAAGGAGACCCTTGGGGTTTGGGAATGAGAATGGGGGCACTGTGAGCACGCTGTGGAGCCCCAGGTGGTTTGACAGGCAGTTGCCCTGTAAGCAGGCAGCTCCTCGGTTGGACTGCATCCTGGTTGATGGAAAGGGCAGGCACACCTAGATCCTGGGAACACTGAACAGCAGAACTCTTCAAGCAGCCCACAGTGGATGTATTCCAGGGGTTCATGAGCTGAACAGGTGAGTTTATTCCATCCCAGAGGGAACCTGAAGTCTGTCAGCCAAAGGAGAAACTAACTGGTCCACCACAGGGTGGGCTCCTTCAGCTGACAGACTTCAGCTCCCTCTGGGTTGGAATCAAGACCCACCATGTGAATAGACCATAGTGGGTGGGTGGCTGGGCTGACTGTGGGTTTCACATCCAAGGCAGTTGTGGTTCTCTCCCTCCCTGGGGCAGGAGGCTGGCACTCTCCATGCTTGGTGTTGTTAGGTGGTGTGGGCACCTGCTTCCTCCCTGCTATATTCAACTGAAGCAGGCAGAGGACCTCTCACCCCATTTCCTTAGCCCTTGTGGAGGTGGTTTGGTATGAACAGTTCTTCAACTAAAAGTCTTTGGGGAGTTGATCATCAGTCTTAGTGCCATCTTGCTCTGCATCCTCTGACCTATTATTTATTTCCTTCCACTAGTGTTGGGTTGGTTTGCTGTCTCTCCTGGAACTTGAGACCAACATCAGCCTTTTATTTTGAGTCAGGCTTTGTTAATGCACCACGTATGGCTGCATTCTTCCCTCTTGGTACTTCTTTGAGCATTCTGTGAGTTTTCACATTTTCACATGTTGTGTTTCTGTTGTCATTTGTTTCAGCACACTTACAATTTTCCCTTTTTATTTTGTCAATGGCCTGCTATTCATTCAGTAGCATGTTAAGTTTCCATGAATTTCTATAGCTTCTTTTGATGTTTATTTATAGTTTTATTTCATTTTGGTCAGAAAAGATATACAATATGATTTAAATTGTTTTGAATTTCTTGAGTCTTGTTTACTCAGCCTTACCCAATGTTATGTGTTAAAATAAGACCAGGAAGTTCACAATTTTATGAAGTACTGTCATGTTCTCATGATGCCAGCTCCCCCGACTGGGCAGCAAGTCTGTCCTGAGACTTCCCTCCAGCTGGAACCCCGGGTTTGTGGACTGGTGGAGTTGGCTGGGTCTTCCCCTGGAAGGAGCAGACCCTGGATGACTAGCCAGGTCACAGTTGCTGGGGGCTTGTTGCCCGTTCTGTGTGCTGTCCCTAGTCTCCAAGGCTCCCAAGGTCCAGCCTCTCCCTCCCTCAGCTACAGTTCTCACACAGTCACCTACCTCAAGATGCAGCTTATGCACCTACTACCTTGGTTTTTGGAGGAGGAGGGGAGCTTGCAGTTTCAATTAGGCCATCTTGGAACTTGTGATTTTTAATATGCAGAAATGCTTTTATTTTCTCCTGGATGAGTTCTGAGTTAGTTCCTCAAATTTTCCTCCAGTTCACGAATCTTCTCTTCATCGGTGAAGAAGTCTGCTGCTTAAGTTTCCTATTAGGTTTTAAATTCAGTGAGATTCAAGACAGTGGATTAGATAGAGGAAGATTTCGTTCCTAGTTGCTCCATGTCTTGGGATTCAAGCAGCATGAATACTGCTGCTCCGTGAGATGGGTGGAAGGAGATATCATTGAAATTCATCAACAGACAATCTTAGAGACTCAGAAACAGGTACACTGAACAAAGGACAAGAAAGAGTACAAGGGAGCCAAGCCAGATGTAGAGCCATGGGGCACTGGTTCACCTCAGAGGAGTGGGCTAGCACACAGAAATATGGGGACTGATTGGCCTGGAAGCACCTGTTGATCAGAAAAGCAGCTGAGCTTAGCTGATCCAGAGCCTACACAGTGAATTGGTCTTTGGAAAGTACTCTCAACCAGCAAGTGGAGAGCTGAGGTGGGGAGCCACCTGGGCAGACCTTGCTGCATCCTGCTGCTGAGAGAACCCAGGAGACCAGAGCACACATTCATTCTCCTGAGCACCCACTGTGTGGCCAAGGGTGTACCACGCAAAATGCGAGTGAAGTGGGCACAGAGAAGGTTGTACCCAGGGGCTCAAGTCAGAGACACAGTGGGAAGCCCAACTCACTCTCCCTTTGGGTCTGAGGGCTCCTGTGGCCAGCTGAAGAGAGACGGGAAACTGAAAAGGCAGGTGTGAATGCCCTGGGGGACTAAGCCCAAGGCCTCACTGTGGCCAGCAGAGTGTGGAGGACTGGCTCCCTGCCCCAGGAGTAGGGTTATTGGGGGGGCTCCTGAGATGGAGACCCCAACAGAGATCAGCAACTGCTAGGCCCTAGTGGTGTGTTGATCTAATCTCTCCAAAGG